GAGGAGAAATCTTTTCTTTGAAGGAGCATTAGGGCAAACCCAACTTGGGAACCCTAGGGCGTATCAAGTTGGTATCAGAGCTCTCGATCCTAGACGGCATGGCATCAAAGAAGGTAGAAGTTTTGGGAGGGGAGATGAGCCAATTGAAGGAGGAAGTGGGAGAGAAGCTTTCGTCGTTGGAAGGAAAATTCTCATCCCTAGAGGAGAGATTTGGGGGAATGGAAAAGGTGATAACAAGCAAAGAGGTAGAGGTGACCATATGCACAGGACAGAAGGCCCGTATTTATGGGAAATGCAAGGGAGTCACTGTTATCTTGCAAGGGGAGGTAATTACTCAAGATTTTTTGCTGATTGATCTGGAAAACGCCGACGTCATCTTGGGTATGCAGTGGCTTCAGTCTTTAGGAGACATGGAGGTCAATTGGGAGAAGTTGCTGGTTAAATACAAGAGTAATGGTCGGAGGGTGGCACTACAGGGTGACCCTAGCCTTTGTGGGTTTCCGACCACCAAGGAATCTACATTCTTTAACCTTGAGGACAAGGTTAATTTTAAAGGAGGGAGTATTGATGCGGACCGCCGCCGACCGGCAGAGGAGGAGCCGTGCAGGCCGCCGCAGACCGGCAGAGGAAGAGCCGGCGACCCCGGAACACGCGGCATCGGCCGGGAAGGAGACCGCGCGGGCCGATCCGCCGATGGAGACACGGGCGCGAGGCTTGACGCGGAGCGGAGCGGGGGGGTCGGCTTGAGCGGAACCGGTCCATTTCTGGACCGGTTTGGCTCGGGTCAGGCCTGAGCTGGGCGGTTCAGCTTGGGCAGCCCACTAGTGGGTTTGGTTTGGTCTTTTGATTGCTATAAGTAGGGATTAAGGGGGGATTTCTAGAGTTATGCAAGAATTGAGTTTTCTCTTAGCCACCTTAGTTCCTTTCTCTAAGTTTTCTAGGGTTTGTAGTGGGAGACCTTGTCCTTCTCGAAGTGGACAAATTGTATCTTGTTTCTTTTGGATTTCTAATGCAAAGGTTCTTGTTCTTCCTCTCATCCCTCTTGTGTTTATTTTTCTTAGATTTGGTGGAGAAATCTTTTCTTTGAAGGAGCATTAGGGCAAACTCAAACTTGGGAACCCTAGGGCGTATCACTTTCAAATAAGACCAAACTTTGAAATTGAATATAATGTTATGTGGATTAAAAGATGTTGTATTAGGCAAGCAAAAGAATAGAGAATAGAGTATGGTATGTTGAAATAAAATTCAATTTTCTCTCAATACTTGTGTCGTTCCACCTAAATACTTTCAAGACCTCATAACTCTTGACGACAACTTCTAGGGGATGATATTCCTTGCATCGATGTGAAGCTCAGATTAACACTTTAGTGATGTCTTTCCTTTTTTTTTCTGTAATTGGCATGTATGTGATTGAAATTTTCTCAAATTTGATACATGCAATTTTTCATTTTAGAACATTAACCTTCATCATTGCTAAATTTTATATTTGCTCTTAAATTTTTTTGTGAAATTTTAGCTTTTCATAACTATTAAATTATTATTTGGAATAAACAAGCATGTTTGCTATTTGACTAATCTTTGCTAAGTTAAAAGTTGATAACCTGCAAATTATGGCTTTTTGTGTTTTCATTATGCATCTTATCCTACCTTGCATTAATGAACCCTAGACCTTATTTTACATCATGCAGGATCTACAGAGGGCTTAAAGTACACAAAATTTAACCTTGCATTGGGTAGAGATAGATGCAAAATTCAAAGCTTGCAAGAATAAAAAAAATTAAATGTTCGTGCTACAATGATCAATTAGAAAGTTAAACTTGTATTTGAACATTAATTTATTAATTTTATTATTTTGAATATTAATTAGTAGTTTATGTACATGCCAAAATATTATCCTATCAAGAAAGTTCTTTGGTGATCTGTACCTGAAGCCTTATGCAACTATTTCCAAGAAAGCTATATTATCAAGACGATTCCCCTATTGTCTCAAATTTTGGCTTCTGTGACCTCTACTCAATGACCTCCTGGTGCTACATTCAGCTTTCTTCTTTTCTGCGAAGTCCAGAACTTTATCTACGGATCATAAACTATTTTTGTTGAAAGATTTCCAACTTCAATGTGATTTCCATAGGTACTCTATATTGCAATCCCAGCATCCAGTGGCTTTCCATGTGATTAGCCTATGTTCCCATGTCAATAACTCTTATGTGATTCCTATGTAATTGATGGAAAAAAAATTCAATTGATTTTTTAATTATAAATAGAGCTCTGAGGCATGTATCAAACATATTAAAGGCCGAAAAAATTAAGTTGGTCGAGAAATTAATACTATTTCCAAAATTCAATTCCTTATCAAGAAAGACTCAGAATATTTCCAGAGAGGTTGTCTTCTTGTACAAGCATGAAGCTTAGTGAATATGTTCTTAACCTTTCTCTTCTTCTAAGATCATTAATTTCAAAGTAATTGTGTTTAGACAGATTTTATATAATCTAGATTGCTATCAAGTGTGTGAACATTAATCATGTGCGTCATTTTTTTTTATTCTTATTATTGTTATTAATTATAAGTAAAAGGCCATTGAGTTTTTATCTGATTGACTATAACTATATATTTACTTTTCATCAAAGTAGTCCATAATTATATAAAAATAAAAGCTTGTGTCCTACAAATTGTGTTTGTAGCTCGAGATATTGCATCTCATGCAAAATTATTATTAAAAACCCTACACCAACAAGACATCTACATCAAAAGTAGTTTCATTGGCTTGAATTGTAACCTCCAAGCCACATCGCATGTAAATGACAATTGAATTATGCTTCATTGTTATTTAAGAAATGTATAAGTTTTATTTTCCATAAGCATTTACATAAACTTCATGATTCATGACACACCGCATGCCACATCAAATGCTTATACATGTTACTAAGTTTCAAGACCCTGAAGATTAGCAAGAAGATATGGAACCAAAAGTGAGAACTATAGATCAAAACATGAAGTTTAATTTTGATAAAAAGAAGGTAGCATTGAAAGGAAGATGGGTACAATAGTATGACCGACACAAAATGAAGTCAAAATTTGCCAAATACTACAGCGAAAATGAAACAAGAATGAATTTGATAATAAAAACAGAAATTTAAAAACAAGCTGCAAAATGAGACCAGTTGAAAGACTTAGTGGAATTTCTCTTGTTAGTAATATGAAAAATGTAAAAACGAGTGACTTCCGTAAAAAAGTATTTATGTTAACTCACTTGCAAGAATTTTGGCTCAATTTAAGTTAAATGAAATATTTCCTATTATGAAATTACTAAAGCTCGATGTCATCTTCAAGAATGGAAAAAATCTTATGAAAGTACTGATGCTTGATGCCTTCTTCAATAATGTAAAAAATATATGGATCTTAATGAAAGAAATATGGTTCATGGATGAAGGTTAAATGTGGCAAATATTCTGGAAGCATTGATAATTTACATTGCAGCAGAACTTGACCCTTAATTTAAGGTACAATGTCAGGAACTTACATTTACGGGCAAGTGCAAGGGATGGCATAGTTTTGGAAAAATGTTTAGGTTAGCAATGTGTGGCATGTTTCATGAGTGTCTGACCAAGATGAGCTATTCTGAATATGGGATTAAGTGAGAAAAAAGACAGGGCAGGCAGTATGCTATTTACATGAAAAAAATCAAAGGATGACTTGCAAAATAGAACATATCTGGATAAAAATTGAGAGCCAAAAGGCAAGAGATGATATTAATATATTGGTTTGTATGATGTAATTTGGCGGAATAACTAATTAATAGATGCATTCATACGGATCTCAAGCTCTATGGACTAAGGCAGCACTCCCCTTAATGCTTAACGTGCTAATAAACTCTAGTTAAGTCCGTATGATTTTTACACTACTAGTTCATGGTTCATGTTTCAAATAAAGATGTTTTATAACAAAGATTTGAACACACTACAAATCTTAGTAAAATAAAACCAAATCAAAATATCCTTCCCTGCTAATAAAAAAATCATAATAGTAAAATCTAGCAATACTTACAAGATACCCTACAGAAGTAACCAATAAATCCATTTCAAGTACAAGAAAGCAAGAATGATTTAAGATGCCCATCCAGCCAGTTATATATCCTTCAGTTACAAGAGTGCCTCAGATAAAAAAGATAAATATGCCCGTTACAAAAGTACATCACGGCATTAAGATATTTATCCCAATAGACAATAGTATTAGGCACGACAAAAAAAATACCAGTAATAATGCAAAAGTGTGGCGGATTTGAGCATGCACCGACAAAACGCACAACATTTTTGTGCTGAACTTCCCTGAAAGGCATAATACACACCAGAAATTTAGTATAAATCGATTTGGTACTAAAGCAAAGGCAAAGCATCCGGGGTAAACATATCAGATAACCAAGTATTAGGCATAATTTGGATGAAAGTGAGATAGTATTTTAACAAATGTTAAATGTGGGATTCATGATGATTTTAATATCCAAATTCACATAATTTAATAATTCATTTCATAAATAATGCTACAAATCTCACCTTAGTATCATTAATTCTTGTGCAAATTCAACTCTCATGGTCTCATTCAGATGCTCGGATCGTAAAACCTTTATGGCAACATCCTGATCAAGGTAACTCCCACGATATCTTTGGATCAAGGAATAGGTTATTTTATTGTAAAAATTCCTAAAATAGAATAATGAGTGGTATTTTACTTACAAATCACCAGAAGATCCGGATCCAATCTTGTCTCCAATCTTCAACAAACTTCTATCTATTTCCCAATCACTATATTGAATAGCATTTACTGATGAACCCTATAAAATTTGCAAAAATACAAATGGGATTGCTCACTATTCCTATCACCAATAAAGAAACCTAACCATAATCATAAGCAAAGGAAAAAAGTCAAGCAGCATGTAATAACATCAATAGTGGATGTTCTTCAAAATTCATCATTTCAACAAGTAAATAAATTATTATCATGTCATAGTCTTCTGGTTTTTACGTAACAGGGGATCTTGCCAGTCCGCAGAAAATTTTGGATATGGAGAATTTCAAAACCACCATTTTTAGTGGCGTATGAGCTATGGGTGGTTGCTCTTAACTTTAATTGATAGAGTTTTATGGCCTGAAAGTTAAATTTAGCATAATGAAGATTAGTGTGCTTATTCCACCCTTGGTGCCTTTTTTGGAAATAAAAATGGCACTACAGAAAAGATTACAGAAATGCAAATATTAGCCAGGAAAATCTACAAAATGAATATACTTACATCACCTCTCATAACAAACTGCTACAGAGAGCAGTTACTCACCTGAAGAGGAGAGATCTTTCCATCTTTCATTATGCTATCAATGAACATACACTATATATAAGTACCAACTTTACTATATTACAATACAATATATATGGAGGAAAAGCCCGCTCACTATTAGTAAATTGTCAATTTAGTCATAGAGTATCACAACGCTCTAATTTGATCCCTTGATTATTGAAAATTAATCAAAAATGATCTCAAGGCCGAAATTCATGGTTAAAGTTAATGCCAAAAGTTAAAATTGAAGGTATTCTAGATACTGCAAGTGTGTGAAGTTATATTTCTTATATTATTTGTGCAGTTTAACCTATACAATAACTTAAAATAACAAGTCTGTTATTTAATATATTTGACCGAAATAAATGAAATGATGATAAAAAAACTTTAAACTCTTTATATTAATTTATACAAATTATGTATTTATTATTTCTTATATTTATACGCATCCTCATTAATCATTTATTAGTTGTTTATAAAACTAATTAAACAAAATATATTCTATTTAACTTAATTAAATCACAAAAAATGATTTATTTAAATTAATTTTCTTTTAATTGAATAAAATTAGTTGTTAAAATAAATTTAAATAAAATTAAATTAATCTTATTTAATTAATACAAATAATATTAATAACTTTAAAATTCCAAACCATCATCTCTACCCCAAATCCCATAAAAAACTGGACGACAAACAAGCTAGAAAGTCACTATATATATATATATATATAACGAGGACAGATTGCTGGAGAAGGAATTAGCGAGAACAACCTATAAAGAAGAAAAGGATGGAAACCCTCAACAACAAAGAAGTTAGGAAGTCGCAACGAAAGCTGGTAGAAGAAGTCCAAACCATCATATGTAACAGCTTAATCGCAACAAGTAAATTGAATGAATTCAATATTCTCAAAAACATATACCTCAAAGTTTAAAATTGCTGTCTTAAGCCTCTCTTGCAGACCGTCAGTTTCCTGAGAGTACCATTTAAAATAAAGAATTAGTTTCTCTTGAACATAGGATCACATTAACAATGATTGTTTTAAATGCTTTGATGTTTATGACTACATGAAAAATGCACCGTCTGGCTAATTACTATGGACCTGAACCGATCTGATACTTATAGAGAATAAGATAAAAAACTATACAAGGAAATTATGGAATCAAATTAGGGCTTGTTCCAATTCTGTAGTACGCCAATAAGGTACTAGCAAGGTTGATAATAAAAACATTTACATAGTCTGTGGTGGTGCAATTCTGTACTGCAGAAAAAAATAAGTTGCCCCAATTTTCTGAGTCCACAGGTCATTAGTAAAAGATTCTACTAACCTTAAAATAAGATGGATGATCATTAAGTTGGTAGGCTAGATATTCTAGCACAACCAATGAACTGACATTACATTAAAAAACTCCCCTAAACTAAGATGCATCCAAATTACATCTTTTTCCCTCTGTATCCATGAATATATTTTGCTTTGAGATTATTTGTAGGGATACCTTCATTTTTTAATAGAAAGGCCATCTCTTCATGAAAATAGAATGTAACAGTCTTTTTGTAGGGATACCTTGTGTAAGTTTGACATTTCAAGTAAGGTTGTAGTATTATGTGTTTGGGCTCTCACCAATGTGCTTCTTTCAACCTTCTGTTGTCATTTGAAGAGCATCTCTCTTCCAATAACCCCAGATGCTCTAGGCATATCAAGAGGGTGTAAAGTATTCAAGAATATCTTGCATCTTTTTGAATAAAATTGTATCGATTTGGGCAATTTTGAAATTGAGACAATTTTCCTTGCCCAATAATGCAAATCTTGTTCATGATTTTGCAAAATTCAAAAAGTAGGAAATCTAAAATTCATGAACTCAAATAAAAAAGAAGAATCATATAAAGCTTGCATAACAACAAAGAGAAATGCCCATTCAGTTTGACGCATACTTAAAAAGTAAATTTTTGTCTTAAAGATCTTTTATGTTTTTCAATTTTAAATACCAAAAATAAAGAAACTTCCCATGCATCATTCAATTAAGCATTTAAAGTACACATTGAAAATGGATTACCCTTGTACCCATGCTCAAACATTTCACGGATGAATTGCCCAACAGTTAAACTACCCAAAACAAATAAATTCATCATAAAAGAGCTGATTGTGACATTCTTCAACAAAATAAGGCCAAATAAAATACTAAAAGCTACTATTTAACATATGCAGCAAGTAACCATTCATACAACTATAGAAAGGAGACTTACTTCATCAGGCCATCCGTCAACAACAAATACATCTAATGAATAGCCATCAGTTGTTGAGAAAACATGAGCTTCACGGATGTTTAGGCCAAGATCAGATAGCAAAGCAGACAACTAGGAGAGAATAGCATGGTTAAGCATAGTTAGTAGCTTCTAACTGAAAAATGTTTGGAAACACACACACAGAGGTTATGTAAATTTCTTTATAAAAAGAGTTAACAACCTAAGAATTAGGCAGATCTAAAGGTAAGTAAAACCATGATCAGCTTCCAAGGAAAGGATATCAAGTAATGAGAAATTCAATTACGCAACTAAGTAAATAATGGAAATATAGTTTATCAGAATTTTTTCACCAGAAAATAAAAACTAGTGTTAGCAAACTTCACATGAATCATATGGAATACTACAAAACACTTATTATCTAACTGTAAATTCATAATAGTGATTATTTTCATTGTTAAATAAGCTTCTCATGATTAAAGACTCCTCCAACTAGGTTTCATTCGAATTTTGAATTCGAAAACTTTCCATATTTGACTTCGCCAAATTTGGAAACTTTGAATTCAAGTAATTTCAAAATTCGAACAAGAAGGGGAGAGTGGGAGGAGGCCGACGGTGGACGTGCTTAGGAGTGGGTGGAGGAGGTGGGGTGGTCGGCGGCCAAAGGTGGGCTAGGGCCGGCGGGTTGGGAAGAGGAAGGGGATCGGGATGGTGGAGGTAGACCACGAGTCACGGACTATTCCAATGACTGGCGGGTATTGCTTTTCGCCCGCACCTTGGGCTCTCGTTCTCCTCTCTAGCTCTCCACAAGAAGAAGTAGAAAAAGATAACAAACTAAATTTCATTCAAAATATTCATTAACCTCATACAACACATGAGACCACTATATATAGGCCTCAACTCATAAAAAAAAAAAAGTACGAAATTGCCCTCTGGGCTACAATAACAAAGCAACTCCCCACAGGGGTACAAATGGAAAAACTGAAAATACTAAATAATACATCATGACATCAGAATCAAAAGTAGAGGCGCTGAATCGAGGCCGTCGATCTGCGGTTTCGCCGGCGATAAACATGTCGATAGCGTCTGTCGATGTCTTCATCAATTATACTTTGATTCAATAAATTTTTGGTTTGATGTAATTCCTCCCATCCTTCTCCTAGTGCAATTAAAGATCGAAGATTTCCAAGGGAAAATTCTCTTTATATAAGTTTGAGGCTTGATTTTTACTATTTTTCAAGCACTTGCATTTCATTTTCTCAAATTTCTAATTATTGGTTAAAACGTGTGATTGAGTGTTGCCAAAATAGTACAATGTGGCTTGTAACAGTTGCATGAGTTTCAATAGATTGTATCAATTTCATGCTTTCATTTTCTGTGTTGTTTCTGATTGAAAGCTATTAAACTATCATTTGTATCGAATTTTTTCATATTTTCAACATTCAACTAAAGGAAATTCATAATTGTCAAAATTAAGGTTAGCAAAAAAACCTTTGAAGAAGTGTTGAGTAATTTTGTGCATCTCATGTAAATTTGCATTAAAAAACCATAAACCTTACACCATATTGTGACAAATACCGTATTACAGCCAGGATTCACTACAATATCTTTTAGAAACGTGATATACTGAGTCAATCAACAAAACAATCAAAGATGGCATCAAACAAAATTAATTAAGCTTTGGTTATTCATAAATTCAAAAAAACTATTGTAAGGTTCAAAATTATATTCCTAAATTCTATGGAAGGTGTCATCTGGATTTTCAGTTTGAATAGATAACTTGATTTTTTTTTCTTTTATTGAAGAATACAATATTTTGATTTGTGAAAAAAAAATGAATTTGCGAAAACAAAACTAATACAACATGCACAAGTATTCTGGCAAAGTGCTGCAAGTAAAATAAAATCTACATGGAATGATATAAACATAAACTAAAAATAATAATATTTGTCATTCAATAATTATACAGCCCAACTTTTATAATCAGTTAAAAACTTTAAACAAGGTGAATAGCTTGTCTTAACATTTTGCTGAGTTTACAAATCAAGTTGCCAAATATTATTTACAAATAAATATGGTTATCACCATTACTTGTTTCATAAAAAGTCATATATAAGAAATTATGGAAGAATTAGCATACAATTCGCTAGAGAGGTTAAATAAGGATTTTTTGTTGCCCTTTGTTTCAACTCCTTGTGATTTTCTTTATCATAAAACTTTAAATTCCCTCTTCTTCGGCTCCCACTTCATGGCTTTCGTTACATGATTTTGCATTTAAATCGTGTTTTTAACTTATGTTCCTCTTTTTTAATTGCAAATTGAGGAAGGCTTTGTGTTTATGAATATGGACGTTAGAGGCAGTAAAAATTAATATTCTGATTCTACTTTTGATTCAAGAAATTTATAGTGAGATGTATCTCCTAGCCTTCTCTTATAGAGCAAATGAAGATTGAAATTTTCTAAGGAAATTTATCTCCTTGTACCAACATGAGTATTCAATCTTACTATTTGGTGGCATGTTTCTATTATTTAATTATTTTTATTTATTCATAAACTTGATTGAGTTTTGCTAAAATGGCATTATCCTGTTTTTTACTTTAGAGGGAGTTTCATTAGATTGTATAGTTTTCATGATTCCAATTTTCTACTCTATATTTTTAATTGACAGTTACTAAATGTCATTTTATCATATTTCTTCATATTTTCAATTTTCATATAAAGAAATGATAGGCTATCAAAATTAATAGTTTGTGAACAAAAACTTGAATAGGCGCGCATTTTTTTATGCATCTCATCATAGATCTGCATTAGGAAACTTTAGTTCCTAAAATGTACTACATCAAAGTTTGTTTTGAAGTCATTGCTTGTCATAATCTTCAAACAAAAATTGTATCGCCCTTTTTCATCTAAGAAATGAAAGCAACTTATCCTTCAAGTTTAATGAATTTATAAGATGAATCATCCCTCCATTGAGCCTATATTTAAAATCACAAACACGATTTGGGTTATAGGAGTTTGCATAAGAACTTCACTTTTATTTATGTATTTCAGCAACTGAAATAAATAAATAAGGTCTAAACATGAACAACCCATTTAACAAGTTCCAATTACTTCAAAAGAATCTTAAGTAGAAAAATCACAAACCTTCTCTCATTTTTATGAAACCATTTATCAAGAAATTCTCAACCCTTGTCAAGTCGTGGATGATTAAATGATCTTTAAATGCAATAAATAAGACATAGCCCTAATTTTAATGATGTTAAAAACAACAGAAATTCTTCATCACATAATTGAAGGCCATAGTCTAAAAGTTCATGGTCAGGAAAGTCCACCCACATATGTATGTTAGTATTTATACATGTATCTATATATAAACTAGAAAAAGGAAAAAAAATAAGGTAATGAATAGATAGATTGTTCGAAGTACACAATTTTAACCATAGACCCAACATAGCACTTAAAAAAGGAACAACATAAAGCAATAAATCTAATTGGAGCAGAGAATATTTGCAAGGGATGGTTTGATCGTAAAGCAGTACCGTTTGTGGCTCCTAGTAAAGTAGATGCATTCAATATACACTAGTGATAACTTTTAGCCTACTTCACCATCTTTTTGCTACGTAATGAGTAACACTTAGTGGCGTCAAAAATTTACATGTAACTAATCCATCCCTATAGGTAAGGGGACGACAGATCAAGGACCACTAAAAATATAATGAGTAATCCCTTTGAAGCTACATAACACATAAATGGCAAATGAAGATAGCCTGTGACATTGTCTAACTGTCTACTACTCTACTGCATAGACTATATTATGATTTAGCCAAAAAAAAATTTCCAATTCAGAAGCCTTGATTCTTATCAGTCATGAAAAATCTATAATAATGCAAATAAAATTGAACTTTTTTCCAAATTAGTACAAAAAATGCAAGTTAAAGAGCATGAACAGATATGAAATTTATTTTGTTACTTTAAGAGGATTTTACAGTAAGTTCTGCCTTGACTACTATTGACCCATTTGTGAAGGGGCAGAAGTAAGTCCACTGGTATAGATAAGAAAAATATATTATGAATAGCTAATTGAATAAGTTCAACTTAACATTAATAGCGTTTATAAAGCGAAAAAAGCTAGGCAAGTATTTCTGCACCAACCCGACTAAGCAGCTTTGGCTTGTCAACTGTGGAAAATATTATCTCATGGATAGGAGTATATCGCCCATCATCCCTGCAAAGCAATCAGTGACAAAATATATCTAGTAAATAGTTCCAGCAGCAGAAAAATCCTCAATGAACTAGTTAAACATTGTCAGGTGCGGATATATTCAGGACAATTTTCTAACAAAATAGTTAACATGGTATGGAAAACACCCATCTTAGGAGAAACAAACAGTTGATTCCACTTAAGCTTTTAAGGACAGTTCATATCATGATTGACATAATGTCCATAATTATCCTATAAAGTACAATCATTTTAAAAAGGTACCCTCCCTGCAAGTCCTTGGGAATTGTAGATTCATATCTTGTATCCGTTTAAGAGTTGCTAGTTTAGTGCCAGACTATAGGTAGCCAACCATTGACATTAATTACGTAAATAAGCAACACACTTTCTGAAAAGAAAATGCCCTGAGCCCCAAGGTATAAATTTATAAGCATAATGATAACATAATTGTTTGCATAATTTATTATACGTATTTGTTTCTTATATAACTTCCATAGCGTTGGCTATTAAGCAGAATCAATATGAAAGACTCGGTATTCTAGAGTATGCATGGCATTGGTACTAAAGTATTTCTTCTATGTGATGTCCATGTTACCCGTGTTCTTTCGCATCACTGTGCTTTCTATCAGAACATGCAGCACCAGGGAACAACCAGACTTCCTTAAGAAAGGAAATTGCTAGGATTGTCATTCGATGTCATGCAGGCCAAGTGGGAAAGATTGTTAAACAATGTGTTGGCATATACACTTCTCTTCAAGAAAAGGAGATTGCATGGATTATCATTCAATGTCATGCAAGCCAATGGAAAAGATTGTTAAACAATGTGTTAGCATATACACTTCTCTTCCTAGCCCTTCAACTCATTGGGTTAATTTATTTATGTATTCAATTGGGAGGGATTATCAAGGATAGTCATGATGGTAGCAAATAGATTCTCTTAAATGATCGACTTCATTCCATACTCCAAGATTATTTTTTCACATTACGTGGCAAAATATTTCTTAAAAAAAATAATTATTTTACATGATTTACCGAAGACCTTAATATATTATAGAGATGTCCACTTGTTTCTTATTTCTAACACAATTTATAAAATTGTCAGGAACTACCCTTAAATTCAATTTTCCCCCTCAAAGAAATGGTTAACCTGAGGTTGTAGATAAAAGTCCTGAAATCTATTAATATGTTTAACTGAAGAAAATTATATGTATTCGTGATCTAAATCTTCTTACTGTACAATTTGCTTACAATAGAAGTATAGGAAAATTTATGGGTAAAACATTGATTGAAATTGTTCAAGGATTGAACCCTAAAAGGCCTATAGATCTTGATCCTTTACCACCGCATACATATTCTAATTCTGCTGTAATTTGCAAAAACATATACATGTTTTATATGACGAGATTAAAGAATAGATTGAATTTTATAATGAGAAATATTTCAATTTGTCAATATTAAGAGAAGTGCTAGAGAGGATGACAAGGTGACCATGTCATTTCAAATTTTCAATACATCCCAAATGATACACGCAAAGTAGACATAAGAAATTGTATGCAATAGCTTATGATCCTTTCAAAATTAATAAGAAATTAATTCTGATACTTGTATTTTAGAAATCAATTATAATACTTATATTTTAGATTTGCTTCAAGATATGTTTATTAATCATATTTTAAACATTAAAGATATATCATATTATCAAGGAACACTCATACCTCAAGAATTGCCTATTGATTCTTTTATAGGAGGGAACACTCATACCTCAAGAATTGCATATTGATTTTTTTATAGGAGGGATTTCTACTACATATGTTATTTTCACATATCTAATCATCAAATCTTATCAGTCTACTTGGATGTAGAAACTATTATTTTAGACGAAGTGATGTTTGATAAAAATATAGAACATAAGTTATTGGTCATATGGAAAGGTGGACCTCCTTTAATTGATACCTAGAAAACAAAGAGTCATAACTATTCGAGGGAGAATTCTCTACCCTGTAGAAAAGTTGATGTACTACATACCTTCAAACATGCCAAAATAACCTACAAAATCTCAAAGTAGCAATAAACCAATTACAAATAGTCAAACCAAGATAGAATAAATATAAACAGACCCCATTTCAAGCTACTTTAGACCTACTTATATATATATATATATATGTCTAACTTTTTTCAATTTATTTTTTAAATTAAATTACTTTGATAGGTGTTATCTTCTCTTAGATTAATGTAGGTTTAAATTTAAAGTTTATAGGAATTAGATAGGATTAGATTTGCATCTAAATGATTGGCCTTATCCCTTACCTTTCGAAAAATTAACATCCATGATATACATTTGGATGATTGACATGGAATGAATCAAATTATTTGTGGCAAATTAAGTGTTTTTTAGATTCAAGCTATGTACATGGATCATTCCAAGTTGTCTATGCTGAGTTTTTCTTCCACCCCTCCAATGAAATTAAGCAACATGCTTTATAAATTCTTATGTTGCAGTGGTTTTCATGTTATTTGTTTAAAGAAACATCATTGGATTTTTATGAATATTAGCAACATGACAAAAGGCAGTTCTACAAACTATGCATCTCTTTTAAAAACTAAACTAATAAATCAGGATAAAATATGGTTAAATTGTGGTGCAAAAGTATCAAATGTTAATGACTGGGGAGAAATAGTTACTTGACAAAAAATAACTGGACAGAGCACTTAGGTTTAAAAAAACCTTGCAGAAAGGGCATCATTGGAGGATCTTCCATCTTCCTTGTCTTCGATGGTTTTTCCCGCATCCAAATTCAACTCTTCAAGCTTTGAGCAAGGTTCAAAGTCAAACCCACAATCCCTATTTATACTCAGAAAATAGCTACCAAAAATCAAAAATTTCTATCAATCATAGGCAATAAAGGAAGAGACTCAATATCAAACAACCTGATATGACATATGGCAATTAAAACCTTCACATAAAATAAATGTTGGAACTTATTCCGTGTAACTAAATGAATACTTTATAGCTTAGGCACTTCGAGAGTGGAAATCTATAATTTGCTGACATTTCACCTTTATGCTCATTATCATCATATCCAATTGAAATAGACTCTGAAATGCTGTTGCTGATCACTCCACTCCACCCCAGTCATGAAATGCTACTCAGTACGACAGAGAATAGTTGAGAGAAAAACTGCTCTGACAGGACCGAGGCACCACCATGAAAAAGGAAAAGGAAATGTCTGATATAATATAATCAGAATGCCCGATAAATATATGGAGTGCAAAATTTTTGCTAGGTTAGGTTCAGCTTGACCGCTTCATCACTTCCATTCTACCACCTTGTGTCCCACTTTTCCAAGCATTCCACTCATTCTAACTTACAAATAAATTAATAAAAAAAGGAGCTGCCCATTTCCTTTCCCACGAATGTATCATCCCTTCCCTCGACCTTATCCATTGGCCTCTCTATTACCATCTCAAATCTACCCTCATCCTCTGATCTCAATCATTCGAATGCAGCTCTCTCTCTCTCTCTCTTCCACTAATTGTTGGGAATATGCAGTACTGCAAGTAAAGAACTGCTACAAACATGAAAAGTGTGGAAGGTTCATACGAATTATTTTACAAGAGCCCGTAGAAATTAACTGAAAAGACTTTAGTAGAGTGCAACTAACAAGCAAAATAACCAAAATAGTGATAACTGATAGACTGAACTGTTAGAATAGGTCATGAGCTGTGTTCAAAACATGTGAAAAAGACACGACTTGTTTGTTTGACCTGAAAAAACACCTAGCATTGTGAATGATTAGAGGACCACATATAAACATGTCAATTCAAAACAGATCCACCAGGAAAAAACTAAAATCAGCTAAAGACCAGTTGCAAATTCTCTTCATAGATTCTGCCATCTACTCCCATTCTTTGTACTGAAATTTTCTTGCCCCTCTACCAACTTCACATGGTAGGTTAACAGCACATTCCATACGCTCTCAATATGTATTTATGGCTTCAGAACAAGCTTCATTAATGGTTGGAACGTCAAAATGTCCAAAACTGGAACTTTTATTTGGTCCGGTCACAGGACCTAGCTCTACGTTCGGCCGCCAGTAGAATCGCGCCACGCGTTCTCACTATTTATCGCGCGCCCCGACAACCCGACCCGGAACGGACCCATGATGGCTCGGTATTTCTCGATTTTGCTAGGTATTGCTCAGTATTGCTAGGTATTGGTCGATTTTGCTCGGCAATAACCAATACCGAGCAAATACCGAGCAATACCGAGCAAATACCGAGTAATACCGAGCAATACTGAGTTGTACCGAGTTTTTCTAGAAAAACTCGGTATTGCTCGGTATTGGTCTTCACAGAGCGATATTTCTCATTATTGCCAAGCAATACCTAGCAATACCGAGTAATACCTCGCAATACGCGAACATAGCATTCCTGGGTTCCGATCCGGGTCAAGTCATCGGGCCGCGCGGAAAAGAGTAAGAGCACGTGGCGACATGTTATTGGCGGCCGAACGTAGCTCTACGTCCGGTCATAGGACGTAATAATTGTTCCCAAAATTGAGGTGCATATGTAGTTATTTGTGTTCTGTTTCAACTTTCATACAATTTAACGTGTCCTGCACGTGCTTTCCTCAGATTCCGAATTATTTCTCATCAAGTACTGACAACTGTTTCATAAATTTATATCTAGAAAATAATTTAAAATCTTCAGATAAAACTACGTTTAGCACAAATTGTTGTCAAGTTGAAGCCAAAATTTATATCAAGAAAACTAACTCGGAATAATAAATGATACCTAAAAGGCTAAATAATAGATGCAAGTCATAGGTCATAGCATGGGCTTAAAAATTGGTCGTCAATGGGAACAGAATAAGTCATTCACTAATGAAACCTACATGACGAAGAAGGGGAAGTCCTATCACATGAGCACACTAGGAGACAAAACCTACAGGCCTAGCGACGTGCACTACAAGATCAAGCAAGATTCGTTAACAAAGCGCCAGATGCTATAAATAATAAAGTTTATATGATAAATATGTGAATCAAAATGTTTACGTGTTATGCATGTAAATCCCCCTATATCTATGTAGCACCAATACTCCTATTTATGAGGCATGTTGTATCGGATACGGATACACCTCCAATACGGAACGGATACGTGTCGGACACAGCAAAGCTGTGTCCAATTAAAATAACATTTAAATATAACGGGACACATGTAAGGATGCACATGTCCTGTTAAAAAAACGAAAAAAAGTGACAGGCCGCTCGATTTGTCCTATTCATTTCCGATGCCACTCGATATGCCTATTCAGTTCTTCCACGGCTTAAATCATTTCCGCAAGCTAGGATTTCCATTTCCACACAGCGTGTTCGTCTTCTTTGTTGTAGTCGAATGAGAGCTTGAGGACGCGAGCATTGAAGCCGACAGGATCATCCTTCATCGACGGAGTGGCTCAATGACGCGAGCAATGAAGGCGACTCGAGAGGTGAAGCCAACGGGGAGTTTCCTTCGTTGGTTTTCGTGTGCATTCAGCTTCAAGTGCTAAGGTATGTTGTTAAATCATTTACGGGAAGTTTCTTTTGTTCGTTTTCTTGGTCGTAATCAAGTCCTTGTTAAATTGCAAGCTGTTGCGCTTTAGCTGCGCTTTTGCAAATACTTAGCAAAAGGGCAGCAAACATGCATTCATAATTGCACTTTTGCTGCCTTTTGCTAAGTATTTGCAAAAGCGCAACAAAAGGACAACAAATATTCAATTAGTATGTTATTTTTTGTGCTGCAGCTGCTCTTTTGCTGCGTTTTTGTAAATACTCAGCAAAAATGCAATGATGACTGCATATTTGCTGTCATTTTGCTAAGTATTTGCAAAAGTGCAACAAAATGGAAGCAAATATTCAATGGCAAAATATTTGTTGCGTTTTAGCTACCCTTTTGTTGCACTTTTGCAAATACTTAGCAAAAGGGCAGGAAATATGCACTCATAATTGCACTTTTGCTACCCATTTACTGAGTATTTGCAAAAGCACAGCTAAAAGGCAGCTAAAGCGCAGCAAAAGGGCAGCTGAACCAGCAAATATGCATTCACTCTAACAATTGAACTTATAATTTGTGTCGATCCTTCGTATGATAATGAGCTCTAGTGGTGGAGGAATTGGGCATGCTGATAGTCCATTAGAGACCAATATTTAAGATAACAAACCTCTGTGGGCTCATGTGACAAAAATAAGAAAGACGTCAGAAGGTGGCAATATTGCATTCAAATGCAATTACTATAATGCCACATATAAAATATCACATTACATAGTAAAAGCTCATTTGTTGAAAATTAGTGGTCATGAAATTAAAGCATGCCCAAAGATAAGCTCATCACAAGTGGTTGAATTATAAAGAAAATTTAGTGAAGCTAAGCAGAGGAGTAGAAAAGAGCTTCCAAAATATATTCCACTTCCAAGCACCCATACATCATATCCTTCATCATCTTCTTCAATTTGAAGTGATGATAATACTGTGAATAAAGGGTTTTTCATGATTGAGGGATATGAACTTAAAAGAAGAAAACATTTTGTTAGATAATACTTTGGAGAAAGCATTTAATTTGCAAATGAGAGAATAATTAGATGGGAAAATAACTAGAATGTTTTACTCAGATAGACTTCCTTTTAACCTAGCAAGGAATCCACATTACAAGAATGTCTTTACATATGCATGCAATAATAATCTTGCAGGATACGTGCCTTCAGGATATAATGTTATTAGAACCAAGTTGTTGCAAAGAGAGAGGAATAATATTGGGAAGTTGTTAGAGCCTACCAGAGGACTTTGGAAGGAAAAAGGTGTTGCTTTGGTTTGTGATGGGTGGACGGATCCACAAAGACGACCACTAATCAACTTCATGGCTGTAGTAGAGAGTTATCCTATATTTATCAAAGGTGTAAACTGTGAAGGACAGTACAAGGATAAGTTCTTTATTTCTAATTTAATTAAAGAAGTCATCATGATGGTGGAGCCTTCAAACATCATCCAGGTCATTACTGATAATGCACTTATTTGTAGAGCTGCATGTATACTTGTGGAGCAAGTCTATCATCATATTTTCTGGACATCATGTGTTGTGCATACGTTTAATCTTGACTTGAAAAATATTTGTGCAGCTAAGAATACCGAGCAAATGAAATCACCCACAATGAATGTCATTGGATCACAATGATTGTTGAAGATGCAGTTGTGATTAGGAATTTTATTATGAATCACACAATGAGACTCTCTATGTTAAATGATTTCTCTAATTTGAATACGCTTGCAACTGCTAAAACTCAGTTTGTCTCATAATGATGTTGAGAATATTCAAAAAAATTAAAAATGCACTTCAAGCTATGGTGATCAGTGACAAATGGTCATGTCATAGGAAAGATAATATTGAAAATGCTACATATGTAAATGAGAAGCTTTTAGATGATTTATGGTGAGATGAAATTGAATACATCTTAAATTTCACAGATCCAGTTTATGAGATGTTGAGAGTTGCTGATACGGATAAATCTTGTTTACATCTCATTTATGAGATGTGGGATTCAATGCTAATCAAGGTAAAATAATTTATATATAAACATGAGAGGAAGACACTTCATGAAAATTCAAGCTTTTGGGATGTTATTTATGCTATTCTAGAAGATAGGCGGAGCAAAAGTAACACAACTTTACATTGTTTGGCTCACTCACTAAATCCCAGGTTAATTTCAACATTTATTCATTATTAATTCATAATTTATCGTTTAGTAATTATCTAATGCTATTTGTTTTAAATATTATTTAAAGATATTCAAGTAAAGAATGGCTTCAATAAGATCCTCAAAGAGTTTCTCCACATAAAGATTATTTAAAAATTTTAAATATGAGAAATATATGTTTGAAGTGTTATTTTTCAAATGATGAGAGAAAAAGTGTCAATATTGAGCTTACTAAATTTTTTTTGTTATTTAGAAGACTTTGGTGAGCAAGAGACATTGCGTGATAGGTGAAAAATTGATCCGAAAATATGATGGTTGATACATGGAGCTTTAGCACCTCTACTTCAAACAATCGCCATAAAATTACTTGGCCAAGTTTCATCCTCATCTTGTTGTAAAAGAAATTGGAGCACATACTCTTTCATTCAATCAACGAAGAGAAATAAAATTACTCCACAACGGGATGAAGATTTAGTTTATGTGCGATTTAATTTATGTGCTTACAAACCTTCAGCTTCTATCAAGGAAAACTCAACCTTATATTGAAGGAGATAATAGGATGTGAGATGTTACTGGAGATGACTTTGAATCTCTTGAAGATAAGGGAATATTAAAAATTGCTAATCTTTCACTTAATGAGCCTGAATTGGAAGTTATGATATTTATTGAAAATGATATAGAAGTTCAAAGACAAACCACTGAAGAAGCTAATCATATCATTCCTTGTATTGACTAGTTGAAATTTCATGTGCTAGACAATTTATGTTTACGTTTTTGTTGTTGTACTAAAAATGTAATGCTTACTTTTATTTTGATATTATAAGTTACAATGCTACAAATGTTGTTGCTTTCATTTTTTTTTTAATTCTAATATTACGCTTTGATTATTTTCTTAATTTTTATGTATGATTTATATATTATAATGTTGTATCCGCGCCATACTCGTATCCTGCATTTTTAAGAATTGACATGTTTCGTATATGTATCGTGTCGTATCTGTGTCATCGTATCTGTATCGGTGCAATTAATTAACTAAGAATCACAAATACTTCTAAATTATCTGTGTCTGTATAGGACATGGATAAAACTCTAACGCACCCAAAAACACATCAGAAATATTCAAAACTACGTCAAGTTCAATTTAAGAGTAAAATAAAATTTCAATACAAACCGAATATGAGGCGAACATGCCCCGACACCTCTAATAGTACAGACACTGGAGCGTGGTAGAGAGGGGAATTTGAGGAAAAGAATTGTACCTCATACCCTAACATGGCCACATTTTCTTCTATACCAACGAGGGCAAGAGACAATCAAATATGAGAAACAAGTGAGTCGAGCAACTCTAGCCACGATAACATAAATGGGCAATGGCTTCCTGCGCACAACTTCAACTTTAACACAAGCAAGACTTGGGGACCATGATAGGGGGCAGCTACAACTACAAAACATAAGCTAGGCACTTGACACCAATGCTCGACTTCAACTAAAACTGTAGCATTGACTTCTACGACAATAACGAGCAATGGTTAATGAATAAGGGCAATATCGTCTTTTATTTCCTTTCATTGTAGGAGGTTATATATAAGCCCCATATATTTCTTTTGTGGTTAATGAATAAATGATTCAATGAAATTTTGATGTTTGTCTTCTTCTTCTTGTGTGTGCACTAGAGAAGAGAGAGAGCCCGAGTTTAGGGTGAGCACCATACCCACCAGTCATTGGAAGAGTTCGTGACCGTGGTTTATTTTCTTCTCTTTACCCTTGTTCTTTCTCCCCAATCGGCCGCCCCATACACCTCCTCAAGCCACCAGCAGAAGTCCCCCCTTGCCCCAACCGTCGACCGCCTCTCCACTTTCCTCTAGCCCTTTGACCCCTAGCCATCCCCCCATTCCCAATCGTCGGCCACCATTATTCCCCCAAGATCTATAGTCGGCCCCAACCCCCTCTCCCCTTTAATGATGAATTCAATCATCATTACTACTTACCTAAAATAGCCTAAATAATTTGAGAAATAAAGTTTCTCAATTTGAAATTCAAATTTTGAATTTCAAATAGTTTCCTAAATTAACAAAAGCTATATTAGGAAAGTTTTAAACCTAAGTTCAATTTAATTTTAAATTGGATTTGATTGAATTATTCTTTTTTCTAAATTAGAGAGCTCAATTAGGAAGCTCTTAATTTTCTTCCCAAACCCTCCTCCCTCTCTCTTAATGTCGTCGGCCCCCTTTATTGTCCACCTCCTTTGAATTTCTTCTTTAAGCCCTAACCCTAGTTGAATTTGAAATCAATTTCGAATTCAATTCCCTCCAAAATCACTTAACCTGAAATTAATTTCAGGTTTCTTGGTTTTTCCCTAACCTAAACCTCACATAATCCAAATCTCCACTCTCTCTTTGGCTGCACCTCCTCCTCTCCCCTTGTTTCTCTTGGAAACCCTAAATATCTCATGAGTTTTGGAGCGAATAAGAGAAGACAAATTCCCTCCTTCATTCTAACATTGGTGTATGGCCAACCCTGAGATCGACTACGGATTCGCATACAACGCTCAAGGGGAAATCAACATCTTGATATCTCCTTTCTTCGATCCAGACAAGACATACGAGGATTCAATGGAAAGCTATGTCAACTGCATACTCTAACATCTCGCCGAGACAATTGACAAGCAACGACCCACGGGACATTGGCAAATCATCAGCCGACCCACAACGTCTCCTCCTCCGGCTACTTCTCCGGCGAACAAGACTTTACGTGCAACTTGTCTTTAGGGTTGCTTCTAGCCTTTCTCCGTTAAACCCCATCTGCAAGAGCAAGTGTGAAGGAACTCAAGGTGAACACTTCTCGTTGTTACGCTGTGGATTTTTGTTTCTTCGCCATTAATTTTATTTTTTATTTTGTTGTTACTTGCAAGTATCTTGTTAATCTCAATTATAATTGTTCGCTATTACTTGATCTTTTAACGAAAAATTCTAATAAATCTAACTTGGTGAAACATAAGTTTAAAATTAGCAAAGTTAAAGTTCAAAGTATTGTTAATTTCCAAAAACAATCCTTGTTTCACATCAAACGTACATTAAGAATGAAGATTAAAAAGCGCTTTAATTAGAAGTGATTATTCAACAAAAGTGGATGAGATATTTTGATAAATTTTTCAATGAAGATTGTGAGAATACGATTGACTTTAGTGACCATAGCAACTTAAATGAAAATATTTTTTTTTATTTTTATCGACGTATTTGTATAACCAAAGTTAGAGAGGCTTTAAGTGGAAAAGCTGTTGAACCTGATAATATTCTAATAAGTGTAAAAATGCTCATGAGATAAAGGAATTTCTTGGATTACGAAATTTTTCAATATTATTTTGAAGACTAAAAAATGTCAGATGGGTCAAGACCGAGTGTGTTGATTTCTATTTTTAAAAATAAGGTGATGCACAAGAGTGTATGAATTAAGAAATTAAGTTAATGTGTCATATTTTAAAATTATGAGAGAGAGTTATTGAGCATAGGTTACTATGTGATATTAATATTTTTCAAAATCAATTTAGATTCCTGCTGATAGGCCTACTATGGAAGCTATACATTTATTGAGTGGTTTGATGGAGAAGTATAGAGATAATAAGAAGAATCTACATATAATATTTATTGATTTAGAAAAAGTATATAATAAAATTTCAAGAGAAATACTCTGGAAAGCTCTAGAAAAGAAAGAGATTAATAATACTTATATTCAACTCATTAAGGATATGTATGCAAAAGTTGTTACTTGCATTCAAACACAAAGTTCTTTTACCAATTATTTTCATATTTCAATTGGATTACATCAAGGATCAGCTTTAAGCACATATTTTTTGTTATAGTCATTGATGTTCTTACTAGACATTTCCAAGAGGATGTATCATGGTGTAAACTTTTTTACTGATGATATTCTTCTAGTTGATAAGACTAGAGAGGGAGTTGAAGATAAACTTGAATTATGGAGGTCAACATTAGAGTCTAAAGGTTTTCGTTTGAGAATATCTAAAACTAAATATATAAAGTGTAATTTTAGCAGTAATAGATCTAGTGGATGGTGGCTTTACTCTTCGAGACAAAATGCAAAACGAGTATATACGTGAAAGGTTGGAGTAGCTCCAATGGCATATAAGATTAGGGAGAGTCGCCTTAGATGGTTTGGTCACATAAAATGTTGGTTTTTCAATAACTCAGTTAGGAGAGTAGATGTATTAGATTTGATCTATGTTAAGAAAGGTAGAGGTAGACCTGAAATTTTTTTGCTAGAAAATATTAGAAATAACATTTTTTATTAGATTAAAATGAAATTTTGACTCTTCATATAACACAATGAAGAAAAAGTATTCATGTAGCCGACCCCACATAGTGGGATAAAGACTTGATGTTGTTGTTGTTGTTGTTGTTGTAGTTGTTGTATTAGTAAACGAGGAATTGAGAATGCTGCATATGCACATAAATGTAATTTGACATAAGTCCAGGAATAATTTGCAAGTACCTTCATGAAACGAACATTAAAAGCGGGCCGTTTTCTAGGGTCCTTCGCATCTGAAAGCAATTTCCAGTGCAACAGAACATCTTCCGCTCTATCAACATTAATATCAACACTATAACTGTACGTTGAAAGAACCCGATCAGTTTCATTCAATGATTAATCAAAAGACTGAAATCAAGTTGAGATTAAAAACAAACTTTGCTTAACTGTCTAATAAGAGAGATAATTGACCCCAAAAGGGGATTTAAGAACCTTAAAAAATAAAAAGAGCTCTTACATAGTTGAAATTAATCAAATAAACATCATGAAAAGAAAATTCAACCTCAACTTAAATTACAGCAGCCGAAACATATAATTTTTGCTTCAAGTAAATCTCAAAAGCGTCCATTCCAAATAAAATGCAAGTATTTCAGTCTGAGCAGTTCAAAATTTCAAAAATTTAAAGCGTCAAATTCGCATGCAGAATCAGGAAAAACCGATTGACAGCAAACAAATAAACTCTACATGACACGCCCTAGGCAGCCAATCAGATCAGGAACAGATTACGGATCCTCAATCACAAGCGTCATAGTGTACTTGAAGCAACACAAAAGACGGGATGAAACATGGATATCCAATTCAGATGCCAAACCAAAGGTCGCCACCTCAGACCATTGAGCTCGCTCAAAAACTAATAAAAAAACAGCACCGAATAAATAATCCAAACCGAAAGAAGTGAACCAGATACTAAGTCGGAACGAAAGCAAGACACAAAGATACCTCGTTGGCAACCGGCTGAAGTGAGCATCAAGCAGATCCCTCAGGTTCGGATTGGCGATCGCCTCCGGGTTCTGGCACTCCACAAGCCTCGTATAGATTTCGTTCTTGATATCGTAAGATGGGTCCTGACCGGCAAGCCACCGCGGCGGCGACGAACTCTCCCCCACACCTTCCTCAATGAGTTCCATCGCTCCCAGGCGAACTCACCGAACTGGAATCATCGTCAGAGCAGGACTTAGGGTTCCACAGGTGAGTAGGCGCGAAGAATCTCGGACGGTTGGCGACCGGGATATAGGGGAGCAACGGAGAAGCGGCAAGGGCAAAAGCGTCTTTTGGTGGCTGAAAAGGGAAGAAACGAGGCAAACCGGAGCGGGGAGGAGGAGATAAAAAGCAGGATGTTCAAGCTTTTTGTGGAATGTTCAAGGGGAGGGCGGGAGAGAGAAAAGATTGGGGCGTAAATATAACAGGCCAGGAGATTCGGGCTTAAGGCGCCAGAACGAGGAGAAAAAGGGGGGAGATGAGGATAGGGTTCGGACTTCGTACTTCGAAGGTGCAGATGAACGATCCGATATGAATCCGTCAAACAGCGTTTCCGGCGAAAAGACATTCGATTTGACACGTGGATAATTGGGAATATTTTGATTATTGATAACAGAGAAATTTTAGGTCAATATATTGACCAAAAATAATCATATATTTATTAAATTTATTTTTAAATAAATATATATAATTAAATAAAATTAATAAATATATTTTTTATTCAAATTAAAATTTTATGTGAGGAGATTTGAATTTTTTTTGCCTGAATAAAGTATCAGTAGATTTGTGTAGGGTTTATTGGGAATGATATCTGGGTCCCATCTTGATTTTGTAGTAATTTATTTATTTTAGAGTTATACTGAGTCGGCAAAAGAAGGAAATTTATAATCAGATAATAATATTTTTTTCATAGATAATAATACTTGATTTTATTATTTTATTATTTTTATCTTACATTTTATGATTAATAAAAAAATGCATGACTTTCTCGTAAAGTCCTATCTTTTTAGGCGGAGATTTGGGATCCTTTTTAGTTTTTTTTTTAATATGTTTTTTATATATTTAGTATTTTCTAAGCAAAAAAAAATATTTTTTTGCTCAAATATCAATAAACCATGACAAATTAAAAAAATATTTCAACAACTGAAGCTTAACTTTTTAATATATCCCAAATTTATAATGGTTAATTATAAGAGAAAAGCAACAAATATAAATGACACATCTCGATAATAAAAATATTTTTTTAGAGAAAATAAATAAATAAATAACACATCTTAAAAAATTTAAATATTGATGCAATATATGTATTGAATTTTTTTCAAAATTAATTTTAAAAATCTTTTGAACTTTAATTTGAGTGAACAACAGTTCAAATTGAGCATCTTGACAAGACAAATCGAATGACAACAAAAGTAGTAGTTTAATACAAATAAAAATGAGCCTCAATTAAGCACTTCAAATATAGCTGAAATTTCTAAAATAATCATCAATTTTTGCACATTTATAACCCAACCAAACCACTCAACGAGACAATCCAACAATCCTGTGATTTTTTTATTTTGAGGTCATTAACGTGCTTAAATACAAAATGAACAATCTACGATAAAAAAATTTTCAATTGAGTTTTTATGAAAATCTGATTGAATTTATCAAAAAGCTTCTCTCAAAATATTATAAATATACACCCGTCAATACGTGAATAACAACATCCAGTTGTTGCATCTCCAACATTTTCATTTACACCCTCGAAATGCAAAAGTGTATCACTTTATATCTTTTCTCCTCTAATTCAGGAAAAGAGCTAACTCTTGTAATTTAATTGCATAGCGAATCATTTCATTCAACCACGACTCGTGAATTTTTATCGCATATGTGTGTGTGTTTGGGATCTTTATAAAAAACTAAGATATAAAATTTGTGTGTAGATAAATGAGAGAGGGTTGGGTTTTAAGTATCATATAAGATGTTTTAAAAATATATTAGCAATTGAACAAGACTTATATGCTTAAACTCTTATATCAAAATTATTTAATTCAAAATTGATATAAACTTTAGTCTCCGTTTAATTTTGAGATAATAGTTTAATTAAGTTTTAGTGATTTGTGACTCCCATGAGTCTTAATCGGCTTTCATCTAATAACCCTACATAGTTGATTGAGATGATGATGTGTGATATTGATCATATAGAAATACATCATGAGGATATTGTTAAAATACATGAGATAATCTACATCAAATAATTTAAAATTTCATTACTAAAAAAATATCAAATTATTTAACTCTCACTATTAAAGTTAAAGTTTTAAATTGAAAATAATTTAACTTATTAATGGTCAACTAAGATAGTAGTTATATGCTTCTGTATGCCTTCAGATAGTTAATGGTTTGTGATGAAAGAACTCGACTCTAGTGGGATACATAGGAGAACTTGTCCAATGATTAACATGTGCAACTTGCCCGGGCTTACAAAAGAAAGTTGTCTAATATGTGGCAATCAAAGCTCCTCACAGAACTAGTGAATAGTCATTTGCCACATAAGAAACCAACTGTCAGGGTCACTCGCTCTCTTCCAAAGCTCGTATCCTCATTCATGCTCACCAATCTCTAGTACAGGAAAGCAATGTTGACCTCATATTTGTATAAGGTCATTAGAACCTATCCAGACTCCTAACATGATATGTGGCCCCCAATATTGATCACCAGCAACCCCAGGCCTATCATTCGCATGCCCTCTTTTCTCTTTCAAATGTAGCTCTTTTTATTGCTCTTGAATCTTTATAAATTAAAATATGAAAATAAACATTTTGGATCTCTTTGACTCATTAAGATTTTGAGCCCCCTTAGTACTTCTTTACAAATTTGCCTACTTGTAAAGGCCTGTCACGTAAAAAAAACTTAAATGCAACAATCAAAAGTCAAAACTTAAAGATAAGGGCCGGCCACTTAATATCATAATAGAAATATCCAAATCAACTACACCATCTCATAATTACTAGTATTTATAGCTGTCATGTATTAACTCTAGTTAGTAAAATAAATCATTTATTGTTATTATTCCATAACCCCCAACAATTATTTTATTACATTTTATGTCATTTTCATGACTCAATTTGCATCTTTTGCAATGTAACCATTCCAAAGAATATAAGTAATTTATGAAAAAAGGAATGCCCAGCAGCCCAAGCAATCAATCAACAGGGTCATTCTTGTATTTATATTATTAGCTGTTCTTAGTCTCTTCCCACTTTCTTGGAGATTTGAACTACGTCTTATGTGTGAACGAATGGTATTAAAAAAAAAAAACTTGTTAATTAAATACCATTGGATGACTAACTTGTTTGTATTATATTGCATGTTGTTCATTTTTTAGCTTATTAATTAGAATATAGGAACACAATAATTGCTCAGAATCTGGGCTTAAATAATATATAATCAAGTAGTCCATTTGACAATTATTTTATTAGAGCATCTCCAATGGAACGACAAATAACTGTTTGTCATTCTTCCGTCGTTCTAACCGAGCGGTAATTTCGATGTCAATATTGACGTCGCACTGTTCACCCGCTAAATTTTTATGTGTCAACGGGATTTGCCCGCGAAATGGAGAAAGAAGGTTACGAGACGACGAAGCCTGCAAATGGAGTTTGATTGGAGCAGAATTACCGCTTTTTGGAGTTTTGCTGGATTTTGCAGTGTAAAATGGGGTTTTCGGTTGGAGATGCCATTAGTAATATTTCTTTGGAGCGCGGATAATCATTTGAAGTCCGATAATTAAAAATTTTAAATTTATTTTCAACTAATATGTTATGAGGCCGAGATGGAGCTCAATGATCAATCCAATAATTATTTTTCCGGCAAGAAATAAAGCAATATTAAATGTACGTCCCCGAGTTATATAATAAAAGGTTACGATCAAAGGTTGCATTCCCTAATTAAATTGTTAGTGGAAAAAATAATTGTTCATGTTATGATCCAGCTTTGATTAAAATGACTAATAAAATGTATTTTTTTTTTCTTATAAGGTTGACATGTTATATGAAAATTAGGGCTACAATTTTTTTTAAAGTTTGAAAAGCTAGTTGGACACTCTTAATTAAGTGGGATTTATTATTCTGTATGGAGTCCGAATATTGCCCGGATACCAATAAAAATGTGTCACGTCACCCCAAAATATACTGCGCTCGGTACCGAGCGTAACCAGACGGTTCTCCCGTCCGGTGTCCACACAAAATAATTATGCACGAAAACTTGGAGCTCCAGTTTCAGTAATTGTTGAAGATCATTGTGACCAAAATTTTGTGACAATGAAACAGTTGTAGCATATAATTTCTGAATCCTCAAGGTTTGCACAAAGTTTGTGACACACTGATTTAGCCCATTATTTTATGACGACACTTCCTATTGTAAATAGCCCTTACCAATAAAATCTGTAATAGAAGCCCTTGTTGCGAACATGTTTTTTTTTTTTTCTAAAGTTTTATATATTTTCTAATTGTGGCATTTGAACATTTATGTCAGAAATAAAGACACTCTATAAGTCGCCAGTCTGTGATAATTCCCCGTTATCATTCAATGCATTTTTGTTTATGATAGCTTTCTTACTACTTTAAAAAGCAATAAGAAAGCCGTCCAAATAAAGTATTAGTATCTCTTAACAATATTAAAATTGAGAGATCTCAAACTCTTCAAATTTGTCTTACTAAAATACTCATTTTGAGTATAAGCATATTATATGCAGAAGTTATTTAGCTCCTCAAGTGGTCTTATGTAGCTTTCAATTATATATTTGTGTTGTGTCATGGAGTATTCACAGCGTTAGAGAAATATAAAGTTTAATGTCTTAGTATTATACGAAGATCCAGCTTGCAATCAAATAAGAGAGAGAGGGTGTTGTGTTCATAAGAGACACCAGAGTTTTTACGTGGAAACCTCTGAAAAGGGGAAAAAACCACAGGGCCTGGCCCAGTTTGAATGAATCCACTAGTATTTCCAGTCGATTACAAATGAGGCCCTTCCTTAGGAGAAGGTCTTGGCTTGATGGTAGAAATGTACATCATATAGAGTGCATTACATGGTTAGAGTTACAATATAGACATGTTTGTTTAGTTGGCATGACCATAGTCGATAGGATAGAGGTCGGAAAGACCGTTATTTGGTGATGAAGGTCAGAAGGACCATAGTAGGTGATGGAGGTCGGAAGGACCGTACCGTAGTCAGTAGGAAACATAGGTCTGAAAGATCATAATTATAGGATGTTACTCCGGTAGAACTATGGGCGTTAGGTGGTGGCCTAGCAGAAGTTTGGCCCTCAAGTGGTGGTTCGGCAAAAGTATAGACCTCAGGTCGTGGTCCGATAGAAGTCTGTGCCTCAAATGGTGGTCTAGCGAAAACTATGGCCTCAAGTGGTGGTCCGGCGGAAGTTCAGCACCTTAAGTGGTGGTCCGACAGAGCAACGATGTCAGGCGGTGGTCTGGTGGATCTTAGGGCCTTA